TTGAGCATCCAACTTCGGCTCAGGTCATGATCTCACGGTTCGAGCCCCACATTGGGCTCTTTGCTGACAGCTGGCTCAGGGCCTGGAGCCTGTTTCCGATTCTGTGTCTCCCTCTCTCTCTGACCCTCCCCTGCTCACTCTGTCTCTATCTCTCTCTCTCTCTCTCTCTCTCTCTCTCTCTCTCTCAGAAAAAAAAAAAAAGATTACGTCAAACTTTGAGATATCCAAATTGCTCTTCAAAATAGTTATATTAAATTTACGCTGCTGCTAGCACAGTACAAAATCCCCAACATTCAGTGTCATGTGACTCTGAATTTTGCCAGCCTGAGGGATGTAAATGCTACTTCATTTTATTTTAATTTGTATTAAAACCTTGAGTATCTTTTTATATATTCATTAGCCATTCACCTGTTCATATTCTTAGTGCACAAGCTGTTTGTGTGCTCTCTTACTTGCATATCAGAGCTGTTCATATTTTCCGTGTATTCTTGCTTGTCAGTTATTGGCATTGCATACATCTTCTCCCTGTCTGTGTGGTTTTTGTTTTCTTTCTTTTTTTTTCTTAATTTAAATCCAAGTTACTTAACATACAGTGTACTAATGGTTTCAGGAATAGAGTTTAGTGATTCATCACTTACATACAACACCCAGGCCTCATCCCGACAAGTGTCCTCTCTAATGTCCATCACCCGTCTAGCCCGTCCCCCTCCCCACCTCCCACCAGCAACCCTCAGTTCTCTGTTTTTAAGAGTCTCTTATGGTTCGTGTCTCTCTTTGTTCTGCCTTTTTTTTTCCTTTCCATTTTGAAATAATACATATTCACAGGATGTTGCACAGAGAGTACAGAGAGGGCCTATGCACTGTTCATCCAGCTTCCCCAGTGATAATATCCTAAGTTACCATAGAACATTATCAAAGTCAGGAAATTGGCATTGGTTCAATGCATGTATAATTCTAAGTCATTATATCACAAGTGCAGATTTATGTATGCATCAATGGAATTAAGATACAAAACTTTGGTCATTCTACCCATTTATAGTCACACCCACCCCGCCTGACTTTCCACCATCCCTAACCCTGTAACCACCAATTTATTCTCTCATCTCTGTAATCATGTCATTTTGGCAACATTGTATAAATGGAATTATACAACATGTGACCTTTTTCATTCAGCATAATACCCTTATGACCCATCCAGGTTGTTGCACTATCAATAGTGTGTTCCTTTTTGTTGCTGAGTAGTATTCCATAGTGTAGACAGCCACGGTGTGGTTTTCCAGACTTTTCCAGTCACTTGTTAAGTGATATTTCAGTTAATTCTGGGTCTTGGCTAGTACACATGAAGCTGCTGTGAACATATGTGGGTTTTTGCACGGATGTAAGTTTTATTTCATTTCATGGCTAGAGCATACAGTGAGTATATGTTTGATTTGTTAAGCTACAAGGTATTTATCCAGAGACTATGAAAATGCTGATTCGAAGGGGCACATACACCCCAGTGTTTATAGCAGTGCTATCAACAACAGCTACATTATGGAAAGAGCCCAAATGTCCATTGAGAAATGGATAAAGAAGATATGGTATGTTTATACACAATGGAATACTAAAAGAATACTAAAGAATTTCATTCAAAAAGAATAAAGCTTTGCCATTTGCGACAATGTGGATAGAACTAAAGGGTATTATGCTAAGCAAAATAAGCCAGAGAAAGACGGATACCTTATGATTTCACCCATATGTGGAATTTAGGAAACACAACAGATGAACAAGGGGGAAGGAAAGGAACAATCAGATAAAAACCCAGAGAGAGGCAAACCTTAAGAGACTCTTAAATACAGAGACCAAACTGAGAGTTGCTGGAGGGGAGGTGGGTGGGGGGTGGGCTGAGTGGGGGTGGGGGATGAGTGAAAGGCGTTAAGGAGGGCACTTGTTGGGATGAGCCCTGACTGTCATAGGTAAGAGATGAATCACTGGGTTCTACTCCTGAAACCAGTACTACACTGTATGTTAACTAACTTGAATTTAAATGAATAAATTTTTTAAAAAAAGAAACCAAATTATTTTCCAAAATGTCTGTTTTCCCACAGTAATGTATGAAAGATGCAGTTTTTTTTCTGTATCCTTGCCAGTGTTTAGTGTTACTGCTAATATTTATCTGAGCCATTGTGGCAGGCATGTAGTGATAGCCCATCATGGCCTAGTCTCCATGTCTCTGATGCCTGGTGGTGTAGAACATCTTCTCCTCTTTGGTTAAATGTCTCTTCATACCTTATGCTCGTTTTCTAATTGAGTGTTTTTTCATTGTAGATTTTTGGCTATTATTTTCCCAGGTACTGGTCTTTGCTGGATGTGCACTTTGCAAACATTTTCTTCCCATTTAGAACTTGTTTTTCCACTGTCTTGTATCAAGCTATTGCATAAAGCAGAAGGTTCAACTTTTCATGAAGTCCATTTGTTTCTTTTATGGATCATGCTTTTGGTATTACTGAAGTAATGGACTTTGATCTCTACCAAGCCATGGGTCCCAAAGATCTTTTTCCTATGTTTTCTTGTAAAAGCTTTATATTTTTACGTTTTACATTTAAGTATGTAATTAATTTTGAATTAACTTTTGCCTAAGGTGTGAGGGTTTGGGGTAAAGTTTTATTTTTTCCCTTGTAGATACTCAGTTGGCCCAGCATCATTTGTTGAAAGACTGACATTCCTCCATTGCCTTTGGCACTTTTGTTAAAAACTAGTTGGCCTTACTTCTGTGAGACTATTTATGGATTCTTTCTTTTATCCCATTGGTCTGTGTATCTGTGCCTCTGCCAGTACCACACAATCTTGATGACGGTAGCTATAATAAGTCTTAAAATTGGGTAGAATGATTCTTCCCATTTTATCCTTATTCACATTTGTCTTAGCTTTTCTAATTCCTTTGCCTGTCTATGTAAGTTTTACACAATCTTGATTATACCTATAAAACATCTTGCTAGAATTTTAATAGGCATTGGGTTAAGCCTGTATATTCATTTTTGGAGAATTGACGTTGTTTTTTAATGGAGGTTCCCCACCCATAAACATAGTATGTCTTTCCATTTATTCAGATCTTTAATTTTTCATCAGTATTTTGTACTTTGCAACATACTAATTTCCCCTCAATTTCTTTTTTTTTTCAATCATGCAGATGCATTTTCTCCATCAGTCAGTATGATCCTGTGATTTTCTTCTCTAGCCAGTTAATATGGTAGATTGATTGATTTTCAGATATCAAACTAGTCTTGCACCCCTGAAATACATCATACTTGGTCATTACAAAACTTCTTTTGTAAGTTTCTAAGTTAATAATTTGTTAATGCTATATTCATGGAAGATACTGGCCTCTAGGGTTGTTTTTCTTTTTCTGTACTGTTTTTGACTGATTTTGGTATCAGGATAAAGTGACCATAAAATGAATTCCCTCTTCTTCTATTCCCTGGAAGAGATTGTGTAAAATTGATATTAATTCTTACAGTGTTTGGCAGAATTGTACCCTGAAGCCATCTGGGCCTAGAGATTTATAGTTATAGAGCTATTCAAATGATCTGTTACTTACTAGGTTACTTTTGCTTGTTTGTACTTTTAGAAATTGGTGATTGAAGCTTTCTGTATTTTCATTTATTTCAAGCACATCTATAGTTGCTCATTTATAACAACTACTTTAAAAACTTTGACAAATAATTTGAACATCTGTATCCTCACAGTGTTGGCATTTATTGATTATCTTTTTTCATTCGTTTTGAGATCTTTCTTGATTCTTAATATGATGTATGATTTTTGGAAGAAACTTGGATATTTTGAAGATCATGTTATGAGACTCTGGATCTTATTTGAACCTTCTGTTTTAGCTGGCTTCTTGTGGCATTGCTTCAGCAGAAGAAGGAGGGAGGCAGTACCTGTGGTCTCCACTGGCAGGCACTAAGGGGTTGGGGCAGGGTGGGGTCTCACTGCCATATGGTAGGGAAGAAAGTTCCAGCTCCCTGTTAGGACAGCTTGGCGATGTTGTCGAGGTACCCCATTTATGTTCTCCAGGGGTGGAAGTCTAAGCTCCCCACTAAGGCTACAGTTTTTCCTGTGGTGTCTGCATAGTAGTTATAGTCTAAATGTTTTTTTTCCTAGGCACTGGTTATGCAGCAATAAACCAAAATTGCTTTCATGGGCTTCCCATTCTAGTTGAGAGAGGTCAAATATTGAGTATTTTCAATAAGTAAATACTGTTGGTATTGCCCTACAGGTTAATACAGAGTACAAGATAAGATAGAACTTGCCTGTTACAAATTAGATCACCAGGGAAGGTCTCACTGCTCAGGGCACAAAGCCCTGAAGGACCTGCAGGATATTAGGGAAATGGCTCTCAGACAGAGGGCGCTGGCTCCGTGGTATCAGTTTCCCAGGCATAAAGCAGGGGTCATGGTGTTTGTCAGTGGTGTGGAGAGCCAGGAACGGTGGGTCCGAGAGCCTCATGTGGACTGGCATACGCACTCATATTAATGTGGGCTGTTTCGTTATGAGGAGCTAGTAATGCTGATTCCAGGTTCCAGACTTGGAGAATGGGGTGAGGCCACTAATTAGATAATTCAGGGGCAGGGACAAGATGAGTGTTAAACAAACTCACATTTAGATTTATTGAGTCTGTGGTTCACACAGACTTCTCCAGTGTAGACATATGACAAAGCTCCAAAGATCAGTCTTTATTCCTTCAACTAATATTGGTGACCAGCTGTTGTGGTGCCCCAAAAAGAGGAAGATGGGGTCCCTGCCCTCTGGCAAAGCAACTGTGGGTGCTGAATCGGTGTTACAGCTAAGGGGAGTCAAGAAGAGGGTAGTTAGGCGGTTCCTGAGCACTGTCCTAAAAGGAAACTGTGTGGCTGTGGAGTGAATGGCCCCAGCTCGTCAGCGTAAACAGGGGTGATGCCACAGGGCAAGGAGGAGGAAGGTTGAAGGATGTACCCTGATCACCTTGCACACTGTCCTTACAGACTTATGGAGAGGTTTCTCATGGATGGATTGTATCCTTCAAGGTTTGATGTGCTCCTTGTTCCTGTGGCCCTTCCCCCACCTCGTGCCAACTGAACCTCACTGTTCACCCCTTTACTCCAGGGAGGAGGGCTAGGTGAGTGAACGCACAGGTTTCCTTGGTGACTGTTCTCACCAGCATCCTATTAGAGTGGCTAACAGCACCTGGTCAAAAGCCTGGATTCAAACCCCACCTACTCCTCCTTAGTAGCTCTGGCCTCAAGCAAGTCACTTAACCTCTCTGACCTCAAAGCTTGGACTAAGACTTTAAAATTATCTGGTATGAATGAACTTTGTAAAACAGGAGAGGCCCCCTCCTCCCATGGATTGTCACAAGGTCTAGGTTTGGAATGAGACACTTCCTGGCAACTGGGATGGTTTTAAAAAGCTTCCCAGGCCCATCTACTAAGACCCATGACAGAAAAAAACCCTGGAGTGTCCTGCTTCCTGCCCTGGGCCTTGACCCCCAAGATGGAGCCTGAGTATATCTTGCTTCACCTTCTACCAAGTGCTTCTTTGCAGCTGCCCACCTGCATTATCCCAGCTTTGCTGGTTAAACCACCCCACGTCTTGCAGCTTCAGGAAGCATTATTCCCCAGGCTTTTTGTTGGGGTTTCCTGTACACGCAATTCACAAACAGCTTGTCAGCTGTCTGGCTTGTGGAGGCTTTTTCCCTGGAATGGTCATGTTGCTGCCTAAGCCTAGGTTTCCTCTCTGGCCTGCAAGCGCCCCATCCATAAGGAGGCTGAGGCACCCACAACTGCATTTTCCAACTACATGATGCTGTTTATGATGGCTTCTCTGTAAAATTCCATTCCATGCTGTCCCTGGGACTTAGATGGCCAGGATGTCCCCCAGCCTCTCCTGCCCTCTGCCTTCCCTTGGAGTTTGTGCTGGTGATACTTGAAGCTGATCCTCTGTCTGCAACATTCATTCAACTTAAAATCTAAAGAACTCCAAAAAGAAAAGGAGAAGGCCAGTTTCATCACATCAGTGCCTCTCCCCAAGTACCTTCCTTGCCTTCCTTTTTGTTCGTCTCTTCCTTAACCTGAATGCAGCCAGCCGCAACAGCTGTCCACGTATGCCCTGACCCTGTACAAGCACACGGCCACGGTGGACGGCAAGACTGTCCTTGTGGGTGAGCAGCACAAAGCCAGCTGTGGACGCTCAAGGGCGAGGAAAGGGGAGAGGATAGAAGTCCATGGGAGAGAGACCCCCAGAAGAGACTAGGGGTGGTAGGGAAGACCCTGAGAGGAGCCCAGGGAGGGTGGGAGGAGGCCCCCAGGGCCTCAGTCCCAGCTCTCTGACCTGGTATTCTAATTTAACCAACATGAAGTAATAACAGTTGTGGACTGAATATTATCTTTCACAAAAGGTTTTGATGTTCTGTGAGGCCACAGCCTTCTGCTTGGTTAGGCCACGCACCCTTCCTGCCTGTGTCTGCCATCTGTGGACAACACACGTGGAAAGTCAGCCTAGTTTTGACTTCGGAGGGTCCTGTATCTTGTGGGCGGGGAACAGGGACACCTGCCTTCTCCCTTTTGGGACTTCCTGTCTGCATTCTCCTTCCTCCTGGCCTGCCTGTGTGTCTCCTTCTCACCCACCCCCATGCACATAGACACACACCTCCCACGACACACCCAGGTGCGTTGTGTCCTGATGACGCACACATGTGAGCTGTGTGGTCTGCGTTCCTCCCTGTCCTCCCCACATGTTCTGTTTCTGCACGCAGAGATCTGCACAGACATGCTCGGTGTGTCCGGGTCTCTCTGCCCTCCAGCCCCATGAGGCAGTCAGAGCTGTATTCATGTTGCAGACTTTTGGGACACAGCAGGCCAGGAGCGGTTCCAGAGCATGCACGCCTCCTACTACCACAAGGCCCACGCCTGCATCATGGTATGGAACCAGCGGGGCACAGGACAGGCTGCCCTCTGGGCAAGCCTGAGGGGTGACGCAGTAGTGCTGAGCCCTCCTCACCAAGGCCAGGTGCTGGGGGAGAGGGGAACGGGGCAGCCTGAGGAGGTTTCAAATGACATGTGTGTGCTTCCAGAGGTTCTGAGTGAGAACAGGCCCAAGTGAGCTTCTCTTCAAGTGGGGCTGGATGAGGACCCCCCCATCCAGGGGGAGGAACACACCCAGGGCCTCAGCATCGGGCATGCCATCTAAGGCAAATACAGTCCTTCCCTGATGGAGCCACCTACTCAGATAGGCTCTCAAGGCCCTCTTGACTGTCAGCTGGTGCTGCTCCCAACCAGCCCCTCTCTGTGCTGTCTGGAACAGTCTTCAGAGGGCCCCCCCCGTGGCCACAGGATAAAAAGTACAATAAGAGGACCTGAGGGAGGTTAGGGAAGCACAGGAGAGCCGTGCAAGCCTGTGTCCCTAGGGCCTCCTGCCCACAGCCCTGGCTCCATTCACAGGGCCCGCCATTCCTTAACACAAAATCTCTTGAAATTTTCCAAATTGTAATACTAGTTAGTACGTATAAGGAAACAGAACAAGAAGGTAACTGGGAAAGCCAGATGGGGGCAGTGCAGGCCAGCGGTCGCACCTGGAGGCTCACATAGTCACCATCTCCAACCCTGCAAAACCGGGAAGGTAGGGCCCAGCCATTTGTTTTAATCCTGCTCTGGCATTTGGGGGCTTTGAGCTCACCACCATTTTCTCTCTGGGAATGCCCCTCTTTTGCCTCTGACGCCTCTCCATTGGCTCCATTTGGACCGTCTTCTGAAACCTGGGGGTGTCCTGCCAGTATGCCTGTGTCTGCAGTGCCTGCTACACGGGCCCAGGCAGGTAGAAAGCGTTCACCTGGTGACGACCGCATGGGGGTCTGCTAGTTCCAGAGGGAGCTGGGGCTCCACCCTCCACCTTGAACCACCTTGAACCCTTAACGGGGCTGCTTCTTGTCCCAGCCAGCTCCTCTTCAGCTCTCAAAACAAGGAGACAGAGCTCAGGGAACCAGACCTGGATGAAAGGTGACTGATGGTGATTATGGGAGGCAGCCTGATGTGAAGCCGATTCCAGAAGATTCATTACAAATGTCCTTCAGATTCAAAACAATGTGGTCATTTGTTGAAATAGGGCCTGGGAGTACCATGGAAGAGCATCCCAGGAGGCCCTCCTGCTGCCTCTGTGGTGTGACCCACACCCACTGCCAGGGCAAGCCCCTGGCCCAGTAAAGATACCAACTGAGGTCCATTTGACCTCAAGAAGGACTGGGTAGTTAAGAAGTAAGAGCAGCCATTCCAGCAGGTTACAGGGTTGTCCAGCCCCATCCACTGCGTGCTGGGGCAGTTTGGGTGCTCCCACAAAAGGTTTGAGGGACCCCATCCCTGTAGCGGCAGCTTGAAGTGGCTCAGGACTTCTGGCCTCCCCTGTCCTTAAAGCCAGTCTGCAGCATTCATGCTCATTGCTAATATTTTAAAACAGATAAAAACTATAAATTGTAAACTGGTAATCAAATTACAAGCTACAAAATAATAAAAGAGTCTTTCCATCTCCGGCCACCGCAGTGAGAGGAGCTGCCACCATGTCCGCCCACCTGCAATGGACGGCCGTGTGGAATTGCTCCAGCTTCCTGATCTAGAGGGACAAGCGGACACACAGCACCAGCCCCGTGACCCTATGAAGGCTCATAGCTCCCTCCACTATAACTGGCTGATTCTCCACGAGACTTAGCGTGGAGCCTGCAGCCCACAGCAGGGGTTAGTGGTGGTTAGTGGTGATCGTGAAGCAGAGATCCGACCGGCAAACACCCACCACCTCCGAAGTGCAGACCGCTACCAACGACAAGAATACCTGGGTGACCCTCCACAGCATCGGGCCCAGGATCTGCAAGAATAAGTACCACCGCCATTCCCAGAGCCAGCGCCATCCTGTGCAGCCAGAGCCCGTTGGCGGTGAAGAGGTGCCCGCTCCCTCTCCAAAGCAGTAAAGATGCCAACCGCCTCAAGATAATAATAATGATAACAACAGTAATAATGGATAAAAACCACTTTTAGGAAGTTTAAAATACAAAATGAACAAGAGATTAAACAAAAGTTTAAAATTAAAAGTACATCAATAGTAACTAAAAGGAAATTTTACAAGCATTTAAAATTATTACAAAGAAATTTTAAGACAAAGTTTAAGCAATAAACATAAGAATAGACTAAGAAATCAAAAGCCAAAATTTACAATTTGTAACAGACTGTATTGATTAGTACAATGATACAACTTGGTTAAGACAGGTAAACAGGATTAGGTGACAAGATAACAAAAAAGGAATAAACTTTTTTTTAAGATTCTTTTTTTATTTTTAGAGAGTGCAGGATAGAGGGGCAGAGGGAGGGAGAGAACTATAAGCAGGCTCCACACTTAGCACAGAGCCCAATGAAGGGCTCAGTCCCATGACCCCGGGATCACGACCTGAGCTGAAATCAGGAGTCAGACACTCAACCGACTGAGCCACTCAAGTGCCCCTAGAATAAACATTTTAAAACCCACTTTTGGATCTGAGGTTCTAGGGGCTTCCCTTAGAGGAGCAGGCACAAGTGCAGTCTTTGTTCAGCAGGGCTGCTTGCCTGTGTGTGTGCGAGAGAGATGTGTGGATGGTGTGCAGACACTGACACACCTGAGCTCTCTTCCTTCCTCTGTTCATTGCAGGTGTTCGATGTACAGAGGAAAGTCACCTACAAGAACTTGAGCACCTGGTACACAGAGCTTCGGGAGTTCAGGCCAGAGATCCCGTGCATCGTGGTGGCCAATAAAATTGATGGTAGGGCCGTCGCTGCAGCTGGGTGTCAGCATTCCATGGGGGACCCACCGTTACACATTTCCCTCCATTCCTGGGGCAGCGACCCTTCAGTGACCTGTCCTCCTTCCCTTGCTTGCTTGCCGTCAGTCTCTTGCCAGTAAAAATACCAGCTGAGCCAGTCTTCCCTCTTCCCAAGACTCAAATCCCTGTTAAATAAACTCTTTCTAGGACATGTCCCCTGATTGCCCCTGCCTGTCCCACTTTCTGGAATGGGGGCCTCCAGTGACCTGTCCTGCAAAACCCTCTCCCTGTCCCTTGATGGACAGGCCTATGTTTTACTTTCTCTCTACAGCAGACATGAAGATGACCCAAAAGAGCTTCAATTTTGCCAGGAAATTCTCCCTTCCCCTGTACTTTGTCTCAGCTGCTGATGGCACCAATGTCGTGAAGGTAATGGTGGACTGCAGAGGCAGTGTAGTGAGGTTAGTGAAGGCCAGATGGTGAAGGGACGAGGGAAGCTGCAAAGAGAAGGGCTGGCCACAGGAATGGCGGAGAGGACAGCGGTTGCAGGGGCCATGTGTGGGCAATCCAGAGCAATAGAATAGGAAGGGGTCATTGTGCTGACAGTAAGGGAGGTCATGGGCTGGGCTTGGTGAGAAAAGTACATTGACGGGGACAGGTGAATCGAGGGGTGACCTTGATGAATTTAGGGGTGGAGTATTATGTGGACAGGGACAGGGGTTGGCACCCACTGCCATGTCTTCCTTCCCACCACCTCTACCTCATCCCCAGCTCTTCAATGATGCAATTCGATTAGCTGTGTCTTACAAACACAACTCCCGTGACTTCATGGATGAGGTTCTGCAGGAACTTGAGGTAGGTCAGGCCAACGTGTTGGGCAGGATAAAGAAACAGTTTCTCCTCAGAGGGATGCGGAACATAACCCAGCCTTTGCAGACAACACATGCCCGTCATGCATGCGCCCCTCGAACTAGAGCTGTGCTGGCACGTACAGGGCCAGACCTCACCTGCATCCTTGTTCACAGAACTTTGATTTGGAGCAGAAGGAGGATGATGTGCCAGACCAAGTGCAGCATGGCAGCCTTGAGAGCCTCTCCCCTTCCTGAGTCAGAGAAGGAAACCTCTCCTCGTGGACTTGAGGGGTTGGGGGGGTCTTTCAGAATACCCTCCCCTCAGCAGCCCTCCAGCTCTGAATTGAAGAACTCTTGCAGGCCACCCCCCTCTCTACCTCCTGCAAGCCCACCCATTCCATTTGCCGTCCCCACTTCCCCTGGCCCATGATACCTGACGCTTCCACAGTTGTCCCCCTACCCCCGTGCCCAGGGACAGGGACGGGGTCTGCACCAGCTTGCACCCTCGACAGGTGTGAGAGGTCCACGGCAGAGCCTGAAGCAGAATTAGAGATCAGTACCCTAAGCCCCCCCAGGTTGTGTGGGGGCAGTGAAGAGCTTCAGGGAACATGCTTTGTGTATCTCTCAAATAAAAGGAAATTGAGGTGTGTTTTCTCTCCCAGAACTGACCTCAGGGCCCATTCATTGCCTTTCCACCAAGGGAATTATTTCTAATCCCTGACCATCCCATTCCCACCTCTACAGATTTGGGGGCCTCCATTCTTTTTCCTCTTTGGTCTCCCAACCAACTTTTTTTAGAAATGACTTTGAGCAGACAGCTCTTCATCCCATAAGTTTCTCAGGGTACCTGGGTGCCGCCGGCACACTGGTAAACTGAGGCCCAGATCACAGGACAGGTTGGCCATTAAAGTCAAGGAAACAGGTGACAGGTCTAACCACACTTAGCAATACCATGGCACACTTATTTCAATTAGAAGAGCTTCCCATAGCCCCTGTTTCAGCTTATGAGGCTTTCCTTTTTTTTTCTTTTTTTTTTTTTTTAGGACTATTTGGGCACTGCTTTGTGGGGAAGGGAGAAGGGCCACCCTGCTGCCTTTCCCACTTCTCTCCTGGACTTGAGGCTCACTAGTGTGTCCATACAATCATCCTGTGCATCATTTCTGTTGTTTTCATTTTTGTAGTAAAGCTTGACTTAACATGAACCATTACGTATATGTGCATGCTTGTGGGTCTGGATTTCACTGAGCGAAAACCCACAGAAAGAACCTGTGACCATCAGCCAGATTAAGAGGGAGGTTGCCTTGACCTGCCATGTGAGGCAGCTCCAGTCAGCTTTACTGACCATTTCAATGGAATTTAGCATTTTAAGAAAAATGAGTATGTATCTGGGAAGAACAAGAAACAAGAACAAACCTTATTTGCCTTTCAATTACTAATTCTTACAATTTCAACTGAAAAGCTTTAACTTGCCCTGGGATTTTGGGGACTGTGTTACCCTGGTGAGGTGGACTTTTAAAAGTGACAAAAACAGGGGCGCCTGGGTGGCTTAGTCGGTTAAGCGTCCGACTTTCGCTTAGGTCATGATCTCACGGTTCGTGGGTTCAAGCCCCGCGTCGGGCTCTGTGCTGACTGCCAGCTCAGAGCCTGGAGCCTGTTTCAGAGTCTGTCACTCCCTCTCTCTCTGACCCTCCCCTGCTCACGCTGTCTCTCTCTCTCTCTCTCTCTCTCTCTCTCTCTCTCTCCTATAAATAAAATAAAAACATTTAAAAAAAATAAATAAAAAATAAAAGTGACAAAAACAAAACAAAAAACCTTTGGTGTTGTAAATGACCAATAAGTATCTTTTTAGCATAATGGCTTTATTGAGATGTCATTCAAATACCATAAAATTCACCATCAGTATTGGTTTTACGTAACTATTTGGAGTCAGGTTCTGAAGTGAGAGGGGAGCAGGAGAGGGCGGGAGGCCAGCTTCCGTCTCCCCTGCCTCAGGCAGGCTCTAGAGGACTAACTGCCCCTCAGAGCTGGTCCCACTTGGAGACCAGGGAGCTTTTTGTGGCAGTCAGCCAATGGGGGGGGGGGGGCGCAGGGTGCAGGTGATGGCCCCTATCTCCAAGGCACAGTGGCTCCTGATGTGAGTCAGCAAGGGCAATTCGCTGGAGAAAAGGGCAGGTTTATCCATCAATACTTAAAACAGCCAGGGGAAGAGTGCTCAGGCAGGATGCCAGCAGCACCCATGGCCACCCACCTTCACATGCTCAGATCCACCTGCTGCTTAAAGTTCATTCCATCCTGATTAATACAGGGAACACCACCCCTGGATCTTTTTTTAAGTAATTTATTGAGGTGAAACTTATATAACAAAATTAACCATTTTAAGTAAACGACACCATCCCGTTTAGCACAATTACAAGGCTGTACAACTCTCACCCCTGTCTAGTTCTAAAATATTTACGTCACTCAAAACTAAAACCCCTTGCTCATCAAGCATTTTCTCCCCCTTCCCCTCTTCCTTCAGCCCCTAGCAAATTCTAAGCTGTATCCTTTCTATGGATTTACCTATCCTGAATATTTCCTATAAATGGAATTATATACTGTGATCTTTTGTGTCTGGCTTCTTTTACTTAGCATGTTTTCAAGATTCATCCATGTATTGAATATTTCATCCCTTTTTAGGACAGAATAATGTTCCATTGTATATATCTACCACCATTTATTTACCCCCTCATTCGTTGATGGACATTTGAGCCATTTCTACCTCTTAGCTATGTGAGTAGTGTTGCTACAAACACGCTTGTACACAGATTTCTATGAGCACCAGGCTTCTGCTGTCACAAATTACCACTGCCTGGAAGGCTTATAGCAGATGCTTGTTTCTCACAGTTCTGCAGGCTGAAACTCTTAGGGCACCAGCAAGGTTGGTTTCATCCTGAAGCCTCGTTTCTTGGCTTGTAGGCAGCTGCCGTCTCGCTGTGTGCACACAGGACCCCTTCTTTGTGTTCAGGGAGGTATCTTTCATTTCCGCCTCTTAAAAGACTGCACATCCTTTGACATCCAGATGGGGCCCCACCCTTATGACCTCATTTAACATTAACTCCCTAAATACCTTGACTCCAAATACAGTCACATTGAGGGTTAGGGCTTCATATGAATTCTGGGGGGACATAATTCAGACCATGGTACAGTTCCTAATTAGGAGTGGCATTACAGATCATATGGTAATTATCTGTTTAAACTTTTGAGGAACTTCCAACTTTTTCAAAGTGGAACATTTTACAGCCCTACAAGCAATAGACAAGGGTTCCAATTTCCCCACATCCGAGCTAGGACTTGTTAGTTTCCATCTTTCTTTTCTTTTCTTTTTTCTTTTCTTTTCTTTTCTTTTCTTTTCTTTCTTTTCTTTCTTTCTTTCTTTCTTTCTTTCTTTCTTTCTTTCTTTCTTTCTTTCTTTCCTTTTCTATTTTACTGCTGAAACATAGTTTATTGTAGTTTTTTTCCCTTTCTTTTTTTTCCCTTCATAATTTATTGTCAAGTTAGTTTCCATATAACACCCAGTGCTCATCCCAAGTGCCCTCCTCCATGCCCATCACTCCCCTTCCCCTCCCTCCTAGTGGTTGTAAAGTCGTACCTGACTATGGTTTTGATTTGCATTTCCCTAATGACATGGTGTTGAGCATCTTCATATGCTTGTTAGCCATTTGTAAATTTTCTTTGGAGAGATATTCAAGTACTTTGCCTATTTTTAAATTGGGTTGTCTTTTTGTTGTTGAGTTATAAGAGTTCTTTATATATTCTGGATCTAAATCCTCATTAGATATATGATTTACAACTATTTTCTCCCATTCTATAGATTCTCTTTAAGCTTCCTTGATGTCTTTGATGCATTAAAGTCTTTAATTTCTATGAAGTCCAATTTATTTTTTATTTTGTGGCTCACCTGCCTAAGAATCCATTGCCAAATCCAAAGTCATGAAGGCTTAACCTTTATGTTCTCTTCCAAGAGTTTTATGGTTCCAGCTCTTATTTATAGGTCATCGATCTATCTTGAGTTAATTTTTCTATATGGTGTGAGGTAGGGGTCCAACTTCATACCTGTGCATGTGGATATTCAATTGTCCTGGCACCATTTGTTCCAAAGACTATTCTTTTTTTTTTCTTTTTTTTTTTTTTTAATCTCTACACCAACATAGGGCTCAAATTTACAACCCCCAAGATTAAGAGTTGCATGCTCCATCAGCTGAGCCAGACAGGCACCTCTGCAAAGACTATTCTTTTCTCTTTGAATGGCTTTGCCACATTTGTCAAAAATCAATTGGTCATAGTTATAGGAATTTATTTCTGGATTCTCTATTCTGTTGGTCTAGATGTGTATTCTTTTTTTTTTTTTTTTTAATGTTTTATTTCTGAGAGAGAGAGACAGCATGAGCAGGGGAGGGTCAGAGAGAGAAGGAGACACAGAATCTGACACAGGTTCCAGGCTCTGAGCTAGCTGTCAGTACAGAGCCCGACGCGGGGCTCGAACCCACGAACTGCCTGAGATCATGACCTGAGCCGAAGTCGGACACTTAACCGACTGAGCCACCCAGGCGCCTCAATTTTGTTCTTTTTAAAGATTGTTTTCACATCTTAACAATATTAAATCTTTCAATCCATGAATATGGGATCTCTTACCAATTATTTAGGTCTTTAATTTCTTTCAGGAGTGTTTGTAGTTCTCATGTAAAAATCTTTCACTTCTTGTTTACATTAATTTCCAGATATTCTGTGGAAGCTACTTCCTTTTTTGATTGTTCATTGCTGGTTATATGTGTTGATCTTGTACCCTGAAACCTTACTGAATTATTTTATTAACTCTAGTAGTTTCCTGTGTATATTTGTACATTTTCTGCAAATAGAATCATATATGCATACTGAAAAAGTTTTATTTATTCCTTTATAATTTGGAAGACTTTTGTTTTCTTTTCGTGACTAAGTGCTCTGAATAGAACTTCCAGTATTATTTAAAGTGATGAAGGCAGGGGCGCCTGGGTGGCTTAGTCGGTTGAGCGTCCGACTTTCGCTTAGGTCGTGATCTCGCGGTTCGTGGGTTCGAGCCCCGCGTCGGGCTCTGTGTTGACAGCCAGCTCAGAGCCTGGAGCCTGTTTCGGTCTGTGACTCCCTCTCTCTCTCTGACCCTCCCCTGCTCACGCTCTCTCTCTCCTAGAAATAAATAAAACATTAAAAAAAAAAAATTAAAAAAAAAAATAAATAAAGTGATGAAGGCAGTCCTCTTTGCCTCATTCCTGATCTTACAAGGGAAGTTTTCAGTTTTTCACTGTTGAGTATGATGTTAGCTATGGGTTTTTTGATATGACCTTTATCACATCATAGAAGTTACCACCTATTCATAATTTTCTGAGTGTGTTTATTATGAAAGACTGTTGAAATTTGGCAAATACTTTTCCTACATCAGTTAAGATAACTGTGTGGTTTATCCACTTCATTCTATCACTGTCATATATTACATTGATTGAGTTTTATATATTATGCCACCCTTGCATTCCTGTGATAAACCCACTTGTTGATGGCATATAATCTATTTAATATGATATTGAATATGCTAGTATTTTGTAAAAAGGTTTTTGCATCTATATTCATAAGGGATTTTAGGGATATTTGATGGAAATTTCTTTGCTTGTAATGTAGCTTTGGTACTAAAATAATGCTACCCTTTTAGAATGAATTAGGAAATGGCTGCTCTTCTATTTTGGGGAATAGTTTGGAAAGGATGGGCATTAATTCTTCTTTAAATGTTTGGTAGAATTCACCAGTGAAGGTATCTGGTTCTGTACTTTTCTTTCCTGGAAGGTCGTTTTTTTTTTTCCTCCCCTCTTTTTCCAAACTGATGTGGTCGTTGCTCTTTGTAGGTCTGTTCAAACTTTCAGCTTCTTTTTCTTATTGAATCAGTTTGGTAATTTGTGTTTTTCTAAAAAGGAATTTGTTCATTTTATCTAGGTTACATAATCTGGGAGACATACTTACTTATAGGTTTTCTTATTTTTTTAAATTTCTGTATAATCAGTCTTAATGGCACAACTCTCATTTTTTATTTTAGTTATTTTCACCTTTTCTCATTTTTCTTTGTCATTATAGCTAAAAGTTTGTCAATTTTGTTGATCTATTCAAAGAACCAACTTCTGGTGTAATTACTCCTGTTTTTCCT